CGCATCGGGCTCCCTGCTCGGCAGGGAGTCTGCTTCTCCCTCTGACCCTCCTCCCTCTCATGCTCTCTGTCTCTCATAAATAAATAAAATCTTTAAAAAAAAAAAAATTAAAATTATAAAAGCCATGGAGGAACATGAAAATGCTTATTATATAAGGGAAAAAAGCCAGGTATGTAATGATTCTGTGCCACTTAAATTGTGTATTTTTTTCATTTCTAGACTTTCCATTTGGTTTGCTTTTGACTCTTCCTCTTCACTTTTCATACCAAGCTGTTCATTCCTACTATTCTTTCCATTGTCTTAGCATCTTTTTAATTTTTTTAAGATTTTGTTTTTAATCTCTACACCTAACATGGGGCTGAAACTCACGACCCCAAGACCAAGAGTCACATGCTGTACCTACTAAGTCAGCCAGGTGCCCCCCATTGTCCTAGCATTTAAACATACTTTCTTGAATACTTTCAGACTGTTCTCAGGGTACAGATTCTCTTGTCTGTTGTGATGTTCTTTTCCTTGGGCCATCGGAAAAGTTTTCCTATGAGCATTACTTGTCTTCAAGGGTGGTTGTCTGTGGGACGCCACCATTCCCTGGCTTACAAGGAAGTGGTTTTGCTTTGCTCCTGCCCAGACTCTAGTAATTTCAGTGGTCCCAGGCAGATCGTGTATTTCTGTACCAACCACTTTCCCGGGATGGTTGGTTGAGTGTGAATTTATGCTGGGAGTTCAGTTCCTTAGCAAGGGCCTAAATATTGTTTCTTACCCTAAGGGGTTAAGTCCCTGGCCCCCTACCTCTAAAGCCTTTACTGATTTCCTGCCCATCAAGAGCCTGTGAGTTCAGCTCTCATTAACTGCTAGGGTCTGCTTTGGTTCTAGCACCTAAACTTCCTTCTCTGCCCTCAAACTCTGCTGTGCGTTAAAAAAAAGTTGACGCTTTACCCATCATTTCCATGTGTTTATAGTGGGATGTCCCATCTACCATACTGACCAGAAATACTTGTTTATTTTTTCCATTTGCCACTACTGTATGAAAACGTATGTGTCTATAATCAGAGACTGGACAGGGACTTTCCAAATGAAATGATTTGTTATAGGTAGAGATGGTGTATAGTAACCATTTTTCTTTGTTTTGCAAATAAGTCTGTATTGTCATTCTATTATCTCTGAAACAGTGTAAGAATCCTCATCTTTTTCATCATTGTCTTGTGTTTCAGAATGCTTACACTGCAACAGCCATTAACGGGACAGACTTTTGTACATCCGCACAAGACGCACTCAAACTCTTATCCAAGAATTCAAGTCAGTTTACATCTGTTAACTGCTTTGGAGACTTCGTAATTTTTCTAGGAAAGGTGAGATGTCTTCACTAAAATAATAAATAAAGGAACTTGGGATCCAAACATTAAGCCATACAGCAAGGCTTGGAAAGAGAATGAATGTTTCTTGAGTGCTTACTCTCTGGTGGATGCTGTGTTTCATTCTCTCATTTAATCCTTCATCCTGTGAGGCATCTTATTTTGCAGATGAGAAAACTAAGGTTTAATAACTTGTCCAGGATCCCCCAATGGATAAAGTCATGATTTGAATCCTAGCCCTTAACTCTTAGCTATGCTCAATTCTCTCTACCGTTCTGAGTCCCACTGTTTCATATCTAAAATGAAAATGCTACTAGCCTCATAAAATGGATGTATTTTCTGGGGTTTTTGTGATAAAATATAAAGGGATAGTATTGGAACCTAATACAAGGTCTGTATTATTTAAGGGCATTAAGTCCACAAATATAAAGACAGATTGTTAATGTCCCAAGTGGGGCCAGAGGTGCATTTCCGCTGTCATCTGAATAGTATTTTTCAAGGAATTGTATGTAGTCTTGTATGCAGTGCAGTGAATGAGCATCTTAGAGTTCCATGTCATGGTGTGAAGGACAAGCCCTGAACTTGGGATCCTTGACAACTCCAAACCTCAGTCTTCATATCTTAACTAAAGAGAACACGTGGCCTTTCTAGGTTGTAGGGAAGAGTAACTGAAATATTGATGAAAGTGGTATGATAGTCCCTAATGACCATGCTTCGAGCTGAGGGTTCTTTACACTACGCGACATGGTATGTCCCTTTCCATGTGACTGTCACCCACTGGGCCTAATTCTGCACACCTGTTTGCCTGATCCCACTTCCACTTGATTGCCCGCCCTTCAGATTCTTGACCACAGACCTCCTGTCCTTCCTGCCACATCTTCACTATTCCAAGCTGGACATGCTGGCTTCTTCCAACCAACCATTCGTCCTCAAGGACTTGAATGCTGAGACCTTCAGTGGTGTCCCAAAGTGAAAAAGATCTTGGTCTCTGGTTGTGACCTGGCCAAAGTCAAATAAGGACTCCTGGCTCATTTAGCATTTTGTGCCTCTGGCGTTTGGTAAAGGTCCCTGGTGCATTACTATGAGAGTTAACTGTCAGTAACAAGTTATAACGTGTGGATTTCGCAGGTGGTATGTTAGTTGCACATTTTTGTAAGGATCAGCTGGGCCCGAGATTTTTCATGCAACAGTGGCTCTAGAAGCACAAACTGATTATGCCTTTCAAAACAGACTAAATAATCTTTGTAGTTGTAGTTAAACGGATAATATTGTTTATGTTAGTTTGGTAAGATTGTGGGTGATATGTTGTCTAATAACTACTTCCAAAAAGTCTTTTAAGTCTTTATAAAAGGATTTTAGGCAATAATCCATTTCCCTGTATTTCTTGAATGAAGTAGCATTCAGACATTCATGTCCATCTTTGTGGCTATCCAAGGGCAATGGGGATTCCAGATGGACTCCATTTTATCTGTTAAAGAATTAGGTACATCATGGGTCTATAATTATGTTGCTGGAAATAATTACATATGGCAAAAGCCTGGATTAATCCTATTATCTCCCCTGCCAGCATTGGAATGCCGTTCCACTTTAATCCCTGTGGTAAAAACAATCACATATTAAACTACAGTATATCCACTCAATGGATTGTTGCACCATTATTTTAAAATGGCACTTACTAAAAAGTTTTTAAATGAAGATGCTTATCGGGGTATCAAATGAAAAAACTAAAAATTTTGAAGTATCATTATGTCTACAGATAAAATGTAAATACATCAACTCTCTTCCCCCTCCTCCAAATTAACTGGGCCTTCTTTTGGTATCACGGCTCTTCTTTTTTTCTTAATTTCACTGTAACCACATTTTCTGACAAGCATTCTTTATAATAGGGCACACACAATCACTCACATATGCACGTATATGAAATTATCGCTTCTAACTGACAAAAATCATTTCTAAAATATTCTAACCAACCAATTTATAAAGATTTTCAACAAACTCTTGTTTGGACAGGTGTTGGTGGTGTGTTTCACTGTTTTTGGAGGACTGATGGCATTTAACTACAACCGTGCACTCCAGGTGTGGGTGATCCCTCTGCTGCTGGTTGCTTTTTTTGCCTACTTAGTAGCCCATAGTTTTTTATCTGTGTTTGAAACTGTGCTGGATGCACTCTTCCTGTGTTTTGCTGTTGACCTGGAAACAAATGATGGATCTTCAGAAAAGCCCTACTTTATGGACCAAGAGTTTCTGGTAAGCCAAACATTTCACTTCCTGTTGCCATCTCAGTCCTCAAAATCTCCAAAGTGTAAGAGAGTCGCACATAAAGGGGGCTCATACCTCGCCTCATTTTCTCGTCCAGGGGGCTCTGTGGGCTTCTACCACACAGCCTGAATGTCCGGAGTGAGGTTTGGGTTCTGTTTCCTGAGGCTGAACCCACTTCCCTTATTGAGTCCTTCTCCCTGGAGAGAAGTGAAGCTGAACAATGAATACGGACCACATGACCTTGGGCAGGTGTTCCCGACACAGCAGTCCAAGTCCCTTTGGTGCTATAGGCTTGGTCTGGCCTTTCAGGTGGCCTGGAGGTTTAACAGTTGATCTTTCTCCAAAGCTTTCTTGCCTCCTCGAGCATCATGTCCTCCCCTGCGGGCTTTAGGGGACACACGTGGCAACCGACAGATCTGCGGTTCTCAGGCCCCTTATTAACTGAGGCCCACAGATGCAGAAGCCACACCCTGTCAAGTCCCATTCGGCTTCTATCTGCGAAGAACAGGCACCTGTTTCCAACACAGTTGTTGCTTATTTGTCTTATCAGGTGTAGACAGGGATATTTTAACAACTGAATGAAGTCTCTGTGCTATCTGGGTGAAGTGATGTTTTAGTAATTTTCTTTCATTCTGTTGCCATAAAAGTTAAGTGTTAAAGCCCTTTTCCTTTTTTTTAAGATTTTAAGTAAGCTCTACACCCAATGTGGGGCTCGAACCCACAGCCCCGAGATCAAGAGTTGCACACTTCACCGACTGAGCCAGCTGGCCCCAAAGCCCTTTGGCTTTGAAACAGCATTCAAAGCACTCCTCAGTTCAGCCAGGCACTGAAGTTTAACAAGCACTTCTCTGGTTTTAAAGTTAAATGTGTTCTCAACCACCTCCATATAAAACCTAAAAATACAATAGCAAAACAAAACAAATAGCACTTTAGTTGTATGTACCCTAAGGAAATGGTTTCTGATGGTGGCAGGAAGCTAACTGGGGCTTCTTTCTCTGACTTGCACTTTGCCGACTGAAAATCTACTTGGAAATCTCCTCCCCCTAAAATATTTTAATTCAACAGGGAAAACTTTAAGGATTACATTCCCCTGAATGATATGGTCAAGTAAGTGGTTGCCAAAAGTGCGGATACATAACACTGGTCTCCCGCATTTTTGTTTTTCAGAGTTTTGTAAAAAGGATCAACAGAGTAAACGCTGTGAGGGCACAGGGAGCTGAGCACTCATTAAGGAATGAGGAGGGAATGGAACTCCAGCCTGTGGTGTGATAGGTGCCCATTGGTTAGCTGTCCCTGGAAAGTTGCCTTCTTCTAAGAGTCATTCACAGAATAAATGGTAAGGCTGATGGACCCTATTCTTTGTTTTTTTGTCCTTATTGTTTGGCCATTAGAATACCAGAAAATACCATAAAAGTAGATCCTATTCCTAATTTATTAATATTTATTCACTTAGGATATGAATATAAAATACTCCCACCCCGTCCCCACCAATGTTCCTCAGCATGACTTTAAGATTATTCCAAGTTGGACTTAGGATGAATTGGAGGCATGTGCTTCTCAGTGGAATAAGCAAGGGTCAGATCATGGTCAAAGAACAGTTTGAATCTTGGCAATCACTGTGTATAGTGGGCAGGTCCCTTCGGTTTGTTTGCTAAGCCTTGGTCCCAAGCAGAGAGTGTGTTGTCGTGTGGACTCAGTCAAGCAATGACAGAGTAACTTAGTACTGGGAAAAGAGGACGTTTTAAAATCTGCCTTCACCTATCTATCTATCTGGAAGTCAGCCAGAAAATAATCAGCCTGTGGCTCATGTGAATGTTCAAAAAAAATATTTATTTATAAAAAATACAATGGGATAAGTTTACGCTGAGAAATGCAGCAATAAATACAGTCGAAGAGCACAGAGCAACTCTACATCGATACATTGGCACAAACAGGAAGAGCGGACACACCACCCGGACCTGAACATCTGCGGGCCCATTTTGTAAGCGCTCCTTTAGAAACACAGCTCTGAAAAGATCTTGTCAGTTTAGGGAAGAGAATGAGTACACATATAATCACAAATGCACACGGATCAGGACTTTATTTAAAAATTAGCAAACAATACTGTAGAGACATTGATATGTAAATTTCTAAAATGCTGCATCTTAAATTTAGTTGGCGAAGACCACATGTAGCTATAAGCATGAGTTTAGTCCTCCTCGTAGAAACCAAGTACTAAACTGTTAAAAAAAAAAAAAAAAAGCTTCCTGTCTTTGAAAATCCCAGGTTATTATGGAGATTGTAAAAATGCATAGGTCTTGAATAAGAGAATTGGCTGTACGAGAGTACTCCCCTCCCACGGTATTCCTTTTTACTTCATATGTGAGTTATTGCTTGTGCTGTAGCATTGAACTGTTACAGCACTAAAAGGCAACTATCTAGGGAAGAGACAGAAAAAGGAAAAGGGAATGTATGTAAGGCAGTATTTCTTTTAGGTACAATAAGCATAATAGTGTTTTAGGAAGACAAGATAAAAATTACTCAAGGCTAGCTTGGTTCTCACTGAATAAAAACAATGGGCTAAATACTGAGCTCCTCTGTGTCAATCTAATAATCAATGCCTTGGTCGCCATATTGGTAATCTCTGGGATAGTCATCTTGGTACTCTCCATGGTATTCATCTGGGTATTCTGCCTGATAATCACTATCGCTAATTTCAGACCCATTTGTTCCTGTTCCTTGGCTTCCGTTGTGAATGACCGGTTCTGTGGGAGCGGCACAGTATTTGGGATCATACACTTGCCGCCCAAGCCCGTACACACTCATTCCTTTCTGGGAAGCAACCTTGTTGGTTCCCATCTGGAGAGAAATTGTCGAGTTGTCCACCGGTTGTAATGTTAGCTTCTGATCATAGATGTCTCTTCTTGTACCTGGTGCTAACATTCCCGCCTGGTATCAGAACAGAGGAGAAAAGTGAAAACTGCGGCTCAGGTCTGTTCTTGGGAATATTCCATAAATTATGAAATTCACACTGAGTGGGAACACTCACGGAATACCTTCATTTCAGGGGTACAGCGAGCTTACTGAATAATCCTGGTGCCGAATCTTTAAGCAGCAGTATTCACTGGCTCTCAAGCTAGCTCAGCCCTTCCCTTCAAATCCTTGCTGTGCTATAAAACTGCTATGTGGCCTCAAAACCAGCTAACTTACTTTTAGTTTTCGGTTTCTCATACGCAAATGAAGAGAATACCACCCACTTTGGATTTAGGAGAGGATTAGATGTAAAGAGTGTAAAAACACAGCGTAGTGTGGGCAGCCTGGAAGGTTACAGGCGAGTACCTATTAGGACCACATACACTCTCCGAGCCACCAATTTCAGAAGCTCTTCACACATTCAACAGAAATTATGCCAACCAGTCCTTAAGGGCTTGAGTCTCCAAGAGCCAGCCATGAGTACAGTAACTCATACCTCATTTCTCCATTTAGGCCAAGCAGACACTTCCAGATTTAACTGGTTAAAAAAAAAGCAGACTCGAATGGCAGCTACGAGAGACGGGGCAGGACGTTTCCAGAAAGGGCAAACGGTAAATCTCATCTTGAGGTCATTAGGAAAAAGCTTTTTCACACTTTCTCTCTACTCCTGTGGGGATGGGAGGCCTGCCTGCTCTCCGGTGATTAAGGGAACCTCCTTGTGAGGTGCTGCTGATCTATTTTGAACAAGGACATACTTGCATCTTGCGTGGTATTAGAATACTGGCCTCCTCACCAGGCTACAGTTCCACCTACTCCTAGTCACACATTTAACAGAGATGCTGGCTAAATCCTTCTTAGAACTCCAGATAATTGTACCTACCAAGTTAATTAAGGGAGCCTATAAAAATAAAAGTCCGAGGCATTTGAATGAGCAATTTACTTGGATTTGGAGCAAGCAAGAAACTTGCCGTAATAAACTTATCTTTTTTCTTCCGGTCAGGTAGAAAGGCCGGCTGTTCTAACTGCCAACAAAAGCCATGAGCCACACACCATACTTGTGTTGCTACAGAAAAGGTCCTCTGATTCTTTTGCTTTCTCAGCAAAACCTACTTTCCTGAAGGAATGTACTCTCTAAACATACCATACAAAAACACCCTCCTCTGAACTTAGTTAAATAAGAATGAGGTAAGTGCTAATTTAAATAGTCCTTCTGTACTCTTTGCTGCCAAGTATAAAAAGACAGTCCTTACCTGGCTGGCTCCTTTGTTGGTGCCCATCTGCAGACTAATTGTGGTCTGGTCAAAAGGTTTGTCGGTTTGCATTTTGGGATCATAAAGATGCCTCCTGGTCCCATAGGCTGTCATACCTGCCTGGCTGGCGCATTTGTTGGTTCCCATCTTTTAAGTTAAAAATAAAATGAGCATTGATTATCAGAAGTCAACAACATCTATGACAAACAAAACTACCTCTAAAGAGGTGGAGGGGCATGACTGACAGGTCCCTTTTTGTGCCGAGCGAGGCTAGCGAGATACAGAATCTCCATGCTTTCACAAATTTCAAGGTGTTCACGTTAAAAAGAAAATTTTCAACAAGTTTTTACAGGGCAGAATTACAAGTAATTAATTTCCTCTGCTCCTCTCCTCCCTACTGTCTACAGCACAGTGAAGCAAACCAAGAGGTACCTGCTTCAGCCATTTAAAGGGACAGAAGCACTCTCGGGCTAGACACTATGCTTTTCTACTCCAGATGTTTGTAGAAAATGTGATAGCAAATGCCAGGTCTCTTCTCTGGCAGCTCAACAAGGGCTTCTTTAAAGTTTCATCCAAATCACCAACATCTTCGTGGGAAAAGAGCCACACAGAAAGAATGAGGAATGTGAAGTTCAGAGGAACAATAATTCTCTTCTCCACTGAGAATATGGCTTTAAGACCAACTGGTACACCCAGTTCTACTGGCTGGGGACACATTTCTGTTGGTCTTTTTCCTTAAAAAGGGAGGGAAAAAAATCATTGCAAACCTACCACCCAGATATTAGCTGTAAACATTTGTGCGTATCCTTCTAGGTTTTTCATCTTCTGTATCTGTGTATGTATCAATGCATGTGCATCTTTAAAACTGTGATCCCAATGACCATAGTATTTTATAACCTGATTTGTTTTCCTTCATCTTGGAATTCTTGTCTATCATTTTTACCTTACTCTAGAGTTCCTTTTGTTAAGTTATAATTTAACCAACTGACTACTCTTTGGAATTTCAGGTTTCCAATTTCTTACCAGGTACAATTTAGTAATGTACAAAAATAAATTCACCTCACATAGATTCAGTCAACAGAGGGGCAGGTATCAGAGGTAGTAAAGTCCTTAGCATACTGGACATTTAACAGTGCTGGTTTTGGGACACCCTCCAGGGGAACAATGTGAAGGGGGGTTAAAAAAAAAAAAAAACACCAAAAAACCTGAACTAAGTATTTCTAATAGACTTGGCTACCGTACCGTGCAAATAAATAACTTTGGCACTAAGGTTTTGTAATTTGGTCAGTAACATTTAGGAATTTATAAAGTACGTTTCCTTAAAGACAGTGTAATTGGGGGCGAACGCATTTCCTAGAGAAACAATTGTCAAGTCCAGTGGCATGCTGGAGGTTTCTTCTAAAACCATCCTCAATGTCTCATGGGCTTTAAATGGACATAAATTATATAAACTACATATCCATCCCCAAAACCTACATTATGGTGTATCTTACCCATTCCTTACTTATGAGAGACACACTTGGCATAGTGAGAATTAATGATACTGAAGATGTAACTGATCAAGCAGTAATACATTACTTACCTGCAAACCAATTACACTTTGGCCAGCTTTTAATTTTCCTTCATCAAAACGTCTTGTTTGTTTTTCAGCATACTTAACTCCAATGTCAATGGTTGTATGGAATCCTTTTGTTTTAGCCTAGAGAGAAATTTGCACACTAACTAAAAAGGAAGACTAAAATGGAGATTCTGCCAACGGTTTTTACAGAACAACAAAGAAATGATACTGTCCAGAGATGTAGGCTTCATTAGGTAATACTCAAACTAGGGGTGAAAAACCTACTTAAGGCCATTCAGTAATACATGTAGCTCTGAAACATAAGTATTCTAATTAAGCTCTCTTATGAGGCAGCTGATGTCAGCAGCCTTTCCACAGAGCTAATAATTATGAAGGAGACAGAGGCCCCTCCCTGCCTAGCCTGGTTTCCCATGGGAGATAAAAGACGCAATTCATCACCAACATGGTGGGACTTTTAAAATCAGCCATTAAAGACATACGTACCAGACCTGCCAGGGCCACCAGCGTAGTCTGAACCTGGGTCATGTTTCCATTCTCAAAAAGATCATTTGCCTC